GCCAAGCTCCAACATCTAGAAACAAAGGTGTTGATGGCAGCAGCACAGCTGATATTTCTCTCCAGGATGGAGTCACAGCCAAACAGGAATGATTGTGCATCACGGCGCAGGATTCTGGCTTTAAGGCTTTAAAGGAGCGATGGCAGCAGAGTAAAGCATAACGCTGATCCTTTAGGAACTGAATGTTTGACGTTAAATGAGGCTCCTTAGATCAACCTCTGTGATGCTGCCTGTGCTTCAGATTTAAAGCTTCATAGGAAGCTTCCTGCTCTGGATCACAGCATGTTTTTATACCAACAGGTTAAAGTGCTGACTGTAGTTTTTATGAATATGGACGAAGCCAAACCTGCAGGAATAACTTTAGATGTTCCAGATGTAAAGCTGGTCCTCCGTCACGCTGAGGTGTAGCGGATGAAGCACATCATGCGCCCTAATGAAACGGGGATTTAGACGTCGGTAACTGGTGTGATTAAGCTGTTCTCTGTGCCCCGTCTGCAGAGGCAGACCAAACGGACGGTGTGGGATGAGCTGAACCTGAAGGCGGTGATGATGGGCCAGCCAGGCTCCGTGGAGGTCGAGAAGTTTCCCCACGTCCTCATCTCCATCTACCTGGTGCTGGCCTTCACTCCTTTTGTCACCTTCCTCATTGTGAACGTGGCGGCTGAGAAGGAGCATCACCTGAAGGACACCATGACCATGATGGGGCTGTACGACACGGCCTTCTGGTAAGCTCCGCCCCTTCCTCTTGTTCCGTGAGGCGTTTGAACAGGATGTGAGGCTTCCTGTGCTTCCCGCAGGTTATCATGGGGCCTTCTGTATGCTGCTTTGGTGACCGCCATGTCCGTCCTGATGGCCGTCATCGCCACATACAGTTCACTCTTCCCTAAAAGTGACTTCTTGGTGATCTTTTTCCTCATCGTCCTCTATGGCATATCTTCAGTGAGTCCTCCTGGAAGCAGACTTTAGAGACTTTTGAAGCGTCTTGTCCTCTAAGCTTCTGTTTGTCCCTCTCAGATCTTTTTCTCCTTCATGCTGACGCCGTTGTTCAAGAAGCCAAAGTTTGCGAGCACGGTGGGCTCCATGCTGACGGTGGTGTTTGGCTGCATGTCGCTGTTCACCGTGCTGCTGCCAGACTTCCCACAGCTGCTGGTCTGGCTGCTCTGCCTGCTGTCTCCCAGTGCCTTCTCCATGGGGATCGCTCAGGTTGGCCGCACACACCCCCCGCCCCACATCCTCCCATCTTCCATTGCTGCCGGATCCAACAGTCAGATTCCCTGTAAAGGATGTGAATGGTGTTTTTCCAGGTGGTTTACCTGGAAGCGCAGGGAGATGGCGCTGTGTTCTCCTCCTTGACCAACGGGCCCCATCCGCTCTACGTCCCTCTGCTCATGCTAGCTCTGGACTGCGTTCTTTACCTTCTGCTGGCCATCTACCTGGACCAGGTTCTACCCGGTGAGTGAAGACAATACAAAAAAATTATGCTTTCTCCAGAAACCATCCTGCATCAGGCTGTAATTCAGCGGATGACGTGTTGAAGTAGATCCTGTTAGTGCGTCCGTCACTCTGCATGGAATCCATGTTGCTCCATTAGTCTGGTTCTTCTGCACTAAAGGAGATCAGAGGCGATATATTATGACCATTGGCTGAATCGGCCTGGCTGATGGTTGGTCAGTCTGATGACATCATCTACATTTTCACATGTGAGCTTCAGGCCGACTCCTCCACGCCTCTGTGGAGCTTTTAGTGCTCAGTAATGTTAGAGGAAGAGAAAGAGGAAGAGGAAGGGTTCATCCAGACTGGTCCACAACGTCAGGAATCCAGAACCATCCAGAATCTGAAAGGCAAAGGCGTAC